GGGAAACCAGATCTCATTACAATATCTCCAATTTTATTTGATATCTTAGCTCATTTTTCAGAGTTTGGTTGTCACACTTGTAGCTCCCTCCCCACCCCGCCCCCACCCCCAAAAAAATGTGTGTTAATGTGACCTAATGGATGATAACCATTTCGCCTGCTGTTTGGGGCGACTTGGCAACTTCTGTTAATAAAAGCTACCGATGAGTCCCCAACCCTGCATATTTATTAAGAATCATTACTGATGGTATTCTAATCATGTTAAGAGAGCTGAATATGACTTTCAAATATGCTGCTCACTCGAGGAATAACTCCTTCCCATTACAAGAGAGAAAAAATTCTCCTTATGGAAAGCCATGTCTCCTTTAAATCACAATTATCTATTAATTTCTTTAAGCATTATCACAAGAAATGACCCAAGTTGAGCTGCCTATTTTACTGGACAAACTCCAAATCAATCCTCCACGATGAGAAATCAAGAAAATGACTAATCTCACAAAACATAAGCTGTAACCAAAATATGTGATTCATAAAATAGAAAAAGAAATAAAAATTAAAAATAAAGGAACTCCTCTCTCCTAATCTCTCTTTCCTTCAAGATTTGTTCAATTGTTTTATATGATTTCTATAGTCAACCACTGGATTGGTATTGGTTAGTTTCCATCAAGCCACCGCCGGACCACAAAATTGCCTAGTACCAACAAAACTTGCTTATTTTCAGGCATATCCATGAATTCAAGAGTCCCTTTAACCATGTTGACAATGAAAATCAGATCACCAGATTCCTCTCACTTAGCCAAGGTTTTCGCTTCCTAAACTCATTGGTTTTGATGTTCAAACGAGAGTAAGAGGGAAAATGGTCATTTGAGAAAGAGAGATTTGAATTGTGCATGCCTTTTTTCTTTTGAGGTGGGGGTATTTATAGGTTTCCCTCCAAGCTTTGGAGTAATTCAGTCATTTGGAGTTAATGAAAGACGGTAGCCCCTTATTGGCTGACTTATAACTGGTTCTATTGGAATCTTACATTATTCATCAACTTACATGTCTTAATAACTTTTAGCCAATCTGGATGGAGAAATTGCCCGCTTGGGTGAACCTTTTGTGCTCTTGTTCTCCTCTCATATCGCTTAAGATTCCTAGGCAGAGAGAAGTGTTTGAAGATGATATTTCTTGATTTAACAAATAGTTCCCGAAGTTCGATTATATTATTTATATTAAAGTTAGGACTTCTATTATGCTACGATATGGAACCACAAACTTACCAATGGCTTTGCCTAAACATACTTTTATATATTTTTTTGAGATGACATGAGTTTCGTTAAGAGGAAGTGTTTAAGATTGTTGCATGAACTTACTAGTAGTACGTATGTTTTTAAAGTGCATGGATATTCGATCAGTCGCCTGTTCATTTCTAACAGTCACGACTATGATCAACATACTTCAACGGTTTATACCTTCATCAAAATCTCATTACTTTTGTAGGTTTTCTTTACTTTGCCACTATTGTTTGCTAGGTTTGGTTATATTCCTTATCTTTTTAGATAGTTATTTATTTATTTATTATTATCTAGGTACGTATTGTATTTCCTTCTTTCTTATATACTTCCTCATGATGTCTGCTCAAAATGAAAGAAAATGAAAGTTCAGGGACTAAAGTGCAAATATCCAAAAGTTGAACCAAAAGGCAAATCGAGAATGCAAACGAGCTAAGCATCAACTCGGGAATAATACGGGATGATCAAAGGAAGAAAAGAAGAAAAAAGGCCAAAATGGAGAAAAATGAAAGTTTAAGGACCAAAGTGTAATTATTAAAAGATGACCCGAAGGAGTAATCGAGGATTTGATTGAGCTAAGTACCAATTGGAGGCCATTATTGATTTATGGAATGAGAAGAATGAAGAAACAATGTCAAAATTGAAGAGAACAAGTTTTCAGGACCAAAATGACAATTTCTGGAAGTTTTTACTACTATGCGGTCGCGTAGTAGTAATGTACATGCAGTCGCATGCATGGCAACAGAAATTCCAATTGGGCAAGTTGGCAGAACTATGCGGTCACATAGCTATAATTCGGGGGCGAAATCTGCAGTTTCTTGTTCTTGATAAAACTCTTATGACACTTGATTGGGGCACGATATCTAAATCCTAAAACTGTCAAATTAGGGGTAGAACATCTGGGGAAGAAGAATAACTCATATTGAGAGGATTTTACACCGTAATCACGAAGAGAAACGCGAAGATCAAGGAGATTACAAGCCAATTCATACACCGGTGATGCAGTTTCTGACAATTGCCATGTATTTTGTTCTTTTCTTCATGTTAGGCCAGATTTTCATGTACTAGGAGATAATGAATTTTCTGATGTGATTTTTTTACTTTCTAGTTTTTGCAAATTTGACATCAAAACACATGCTTTGAGTTTTGAATGATTTATATACAATTAATTGTTTCAATAATTATGTGCACGTAATTATATGAATGTGGTAACTTATTTCATGCATTCGAGAAAAGCGGAATGAGTTCGAAAAAGTATAAATCATCGTAAGGTCCGATAGGGGATAGAGATATATCACTATGCCTTGCGTGAATCCTTAAATGCTCACAAAACTATATGCATTCTTGTATACTTGCACCCGTCATAAAGATATAGGCCGGTAAAAATGAGAATATGTTTAACTTTACTCGAAAGAGATGGTTTGATAGATTTAGGAGTATTGATTCTTCAAACTATCAACGTGTTGTTAATTTGTGAAATTAGGATTAAAAGTGGACATTGCTTAGGGATTCGTGATCCGAGTGCTATTCTTATTCATTGATTTTATAAATTTTGCATTTAACATTTATTTTGTACTCAAATTCACGTGAGTCATACATATTTGCTTATTAGGTCAAAATTAGGGTTAAGTTATCACAAATCTTGTTATATCATTCGGTTCGGTTAAGGTCAATTAGATATAATTAAACTACTCAATATCTGGGGGACGATATTCAGACTCTAAAATCCATTCTACTACTTGTTAACGAACCGTACAATTGTAGTGGTTTAAATCAAAATTATTATTTCGTGAACAAGTTTTTGACGCCGTTACAGTAGATTGAGTATTTGTTTAATCTTATTTAGATTAGCACTAATTCGAACGTTAATCTTTTTATTATTTTATTTTATTTTTGTTTTGTTTTTTTTTTTTTTTGTTATTTGATTTATTATAGTATCTAAATGCTACTATTGATTTTTCTCGCAGATTGCATACTAAGATCTATTGGAGGAGACCTAATTCCAACCGATCCAGAAATAGAGCGAACTTTTCATCGAATGCAAAGAGAAACTAGGGAAGCACAACAATAAATGGTTAACATACAGAACAATCCTATCTTTCAATCCAATGAAGAAGGGGCAGCAGATGAAGGCAATATGTTTGTAGGAGATTTCATGATCCCACAGATAATTCAAAGCCAATTAAGCATCGTGTATCCACCGTTTGGACAACCCAACTTCCAATTGAAGACCAATGTTACACAACTGTTTCAGAATGGACATCAATTCTATGGCAGAGTTGAAGAGAACCTACACACGCACGTCTCTCGTTCTTGGAGATGTGCCAACACTTTAGGTATCAAAGAATCTCAAACGATACTATCAGATTGAGGATGTTCCCACATACACTATATGACAAGGCAATAGAATGGCTAGACTCTAAATCAATTGCCAGCACTACTACGTGGAACGATCTAACACAAAAATTTTGTATCAAGTTCTTCCCACTTGCCAAGATTGCAAAGCTCAAGCATGACATATTTGTTTTCCGTCAAGGCAACTCGGAGAATTTTGATGAAGCTTGGAATAAGTTCAAAAACATGCTGCGAAAGTGTCCACATCACGGAATTAACAAGGGACTCTAGGTCCAATATTTCTACGCAGGATTGTTTCCAGTCTTGAAGAGCATAGTTAACTCCTCATCTAACTGATCACTGTCCA